TTGCTCGTGTCGTCCTCTAACGCACGAGACTCTCCTTTGGCACCACCGCCTTGGTCACCCCTCCCTGACTCGTCTTCGAGGCATGGCCTCCCGTACCCTTGTCACGGGTCTCCCCCGGTCCCTCCCTCCCCTTCCTCTGGGGCCCGCCCCTACCTGTGTTCCTTGTGTCGAGGGCCGGCAGCGCGCCGCTCCTCACTCCTCCACGTTGCCTCCGACAGAGGCTCCTCTGCAGACTCTTCACATGGACGTGTGGGGCCCAGCCCGCGTCCGTGGACATGGTCACGAGCGTTACTTCCTGCTGGTCGTTGACGACTACTCGCGTTACACTACAGTCTTCCCCTTGCGCAGCAAGGGTGAGGTCCCTGAGGTGTTGATCGACTGGATCCGCGGTGCTCGTCGCCAGCTCAGCGAGCGTTTCGGCTCGGACCTTCCTGTTCTGCGTCTGCACTAAGACAGAGGTGGTGAGTTTTCCTCCGACCTCCTGAGGGCCTTCTGTCGTGCGGAGGGCATCCGCCAGACGTTCACGCTTCCGGCCTCCCCACAGCAAAATGGGATTGTTGAGCGCCGCATTGGCATGGTCATGGGCGTCGCTCGTACGTCCATGATCCATGCGGCTGCTCCCCATTTTCTGTGGCCGTTCGCGGTTCAGTACGCTGCGCATCATATCATCCTTCAGCCCCGTGTCTCCTTGCCGGAGACCACACCCACTCTGAGGTGGACGGGGAAGGTTGGCGATGCGTCCGCGTTCCGTGTTTGGGGATCTCGAGCTTTTGTCCGCGATACTTCAGCAGACAAGCTGTCCTCCCGTGCCGTTCCCTGCGTCTTCCTTGGCTTCCCCCCTGACGCACCCGGGTGGCAGTTCTACCACCCCACCTCGCGTCGTGTTCTGTCCTCTCAGGACGTCACGTTTGACGAGTCGGCGTCTTACTACCGTCTCTTTCCCTACCGCGCTGCCTCTCCCCCCCCCCCACCACTCTTCCTAGCACCAGGTACTCCTCCGGTAGATCCCCTCCCCCCTCAGGGTCCTGCCCCCTCAGGTGTGTCTCAGGTAGACCCTACCGAGCCAGTCGAGGTAGCTGTCGACTCAGGTGCTGCTAGGGGTGCTGAGCCTGCGGGTGGGGGGACTGGGGGTGCGGAGCCTGGGGGTGCTGAGCCTGAGCATGTGGGGTCTGGGGATGCTGAGCCTGCGGGTGCGGGGACTGGGGGTGTAGAGTCTGGGGGTGCTGAGCCTGAGCGTGTGGAGCCTGGGGGTGCTGAGCCTGGGGGTACTGCGTCTTGGGGTGCTGAGCCTGCGCGTGCTGAGTCTGGAGGTTCTCCGGGTGTCCCGTTGCGGCGGGAGCCCCTCTCTCCGCAGCGGCTTCGTGAGTGGTACGCTCGACGCTGTCGCCGTACTACTGGTGCTGCTGGTGCTGGAGCTGCTGGAGGTGCTGCTGGTGCTGGAGCTGCTGGAGGTGCTGCTGGTGCTGGAGCTGCTGGAGGTGCTGCTGGTGCTGGAGCTGCTGGTGGTGCTGCTGGTGCTGGAGCTGCTAGAGGTGCTCCTGGTGCTGGAGCTGCTGGAGGTGCTGCTGGTGCTGGAGCTGCTGGAGGCGCTGCTGGTGCTGGTGCTGCTGGAGGTGCTGCTGGTACTGGAGTCGCTGGTCCTGGAGGTGCTCGTACTGGAGGTACTGGAGCTGCTGGGGCTGGTGGTGCTGCAGGCGTTGGCGCTGCAGGTACTGGAGCTGGTGGTGCTGCGGGAGTTGTAGCTGGAGACCCTGGAGCTAAGGGTACTGGTGCTGTCTCTGCTGTTCCTGGAGGCGCTGCGAGGCCGCGGCTGTACTACGTTCCGCTCCTTCAGCAGGTTCTTGGTCTACAGCCTTGTCCTGGTCCTACTCCTCCTTTACTGAGTCCACCGCCTGTCCAGTCACAGTCGCAGTTACAGCCGGCCTCTCCCCTGCCTGGTCCTTCTCCTTACTCTGGACCGATTAGAGGTCTTAAGGAGCGTCGTGAGCCTGAGTCGCGTCCTGTGTCGCCTGAGTCTCGTCCTGAGTCACCTGAGTCTCGTTCTGAGTCGCCTGTCCACACTGTTTGTGCTGGTCGTCGTGTTACGCGTCCGCGTCCTCCTCCTGTCCCTGGCACTCACTCTATGACTCTTCGTCCTTCCACTGCTCCACAGCGTGTCCCTCTGCCGTCTCCTCCTGCGTCCTCCCTTCCTGACGGTCCGGACCCGGAGTCTGACTCCCTTCGTGCTGCTAGTCCTACTGTCACGCGCTTTCTGGCCTTTGCTGTCACTGACCCTTTGTTTGAGTCCACTGCTGCGTCCGCTCTCGTTGCTGAGCTTGTTGACTTTGCTGCAGCCTGTCGCCTAGGCTACGCCACTAGTCTTGTTGCTGAGTCTACGTCTGCGTCTCTCTGTCCTCCGTCCGTCGGGGGTGAGTTTGCTCTTGGCACGGACGTTCTTGAGGACAGACAGGAGGAGTTTGAGTGCTTTGCCGCTGCTGTACCTGATCTCGTGTCCATGCTGCTTGCCCCTGAGGGAGACCTGGATGCACCAGACATCCCGACCCCGCGCTCTTACGCAGAGGCGATAGAGGGTCCCTACTCCTCTCAGTGGCAGGCAGCCATGGACGCCAAGATGGCTTCCTGGAAGTCCACAGGCACCTACGTCGACGAGGTTCCCCCGCCTGGGGCGAACATCGTCAATGGCATGTGGATCTTCAGGGTGAAGCAGCCGCCGGGTTCTCCGCCTGTCTTCAATGCGCGTTACGTTGCACGTGGCTTCAGTCAGCGACAGGGAGTTGACTTCTTCCAGACCTTCTCCCCTACCCCGAAGATGACCACTCTTCGGGTACTGCTGCACGTAGCTGCTCAGCGTGACTACGAGCTCCACTCGCTTGACTTCAGCACAGCCTTCCTACAGGGCAGCCTGCACGAGGAGATCTGGCTGCGCCGCCCACCTGGCTTCACTGGGTCATTTCCTGCTGGTACCCAGTGGAGCCTCCGCCGGCCAGTCTACGGTCTCCGCCAGGCACCCCGTGAGTGGCACGACACACTGAGGACGACTCTTGCTACTCTTGGTTTTGCTCCTTCCACTGCTGACCCTTCACTGTTTTTACGCACTGACACCACTCTGCCGCCGTTCTACGTTCTCATGTACGTAGACAACCTCGTCTTTGCTACTGCTGACACTGAGGCACTCGGCCAGGTGAAGTCCGAGCTGCAGAAGAGACACACGTGCACAAACCTGGGTGAACTGACAAGCTATCTTGGCTTGCGGATCACCCGGGACAGAGCACAGCGCACCATTACCTTGACTCAGTCACACATGGTGCAGCAGGTCCTTCAGCGCTTCGGCTTCACGTACTCCTCGCCATAGTCCACTCCTCTGCCTACCGGTCACTCGCTCTCAGCTCCACCTTCGGACGAGTCCGTAGAGCCGAGTGGCCCGTATCCAGAGCTTGTGGGCTGCCTCATGTACCTGATGACTTGCACACGACCTGACCTTGCATACCCTCTCAGCCTTCTGGCTCGCTACGTGGCTCCCGATCGACACTGAAAGGTGCACTGGGATGCTGCGAAGAGGGTGTTGCGCTCCCTGTGCAGTACGTCGGGCATGGGGCTCGTGCTTGGAGGACGGGCTCGAGTTGTCCTCACTGGTCACGCAGACGCTTCCTGGGTTGACGACTTGGCTACGCAGCGGTCGTCACAGGGTTACACCTTCAGTCTTGGTTCCGGTTCTGTCTCTTGGCGGTCTACCCGCTCTTCTTCTGTTCTCAGCTCCAGTTGTGAGGCTGAGATCTACGCTGGGGCCATGGCTGCACAGGAGTTACGCTGGCTCACCTACCTGCCGACCGACTTGGGAGAGGCGCCTCGTTCTCCTCCAGTTCTGTACGTCGACAACAAGGCCATGCTGGCCTTGTGTCAGAAGCACAGACTGGAGCACAGAACGAAGCACATTGCTCTGCGCTACTTCCTTGCTTGAGAGTTGCAGCAGCGTGGCCAGCTTCGTCTCGCTTACGTGGCCTCACAGGCCAACACTGCTGATGTTTTCACCAAGGCACTTCAGCCTTGTGATCATCACCGTTTCTGTACTGTTCTAGGCCTTGTACCTACTGTGCCTCACTTGCTTACTTCTTGACTCTGCTTGTACTGTACTCTATATACAAATACCTGCATGCTTACACTTGCTAGGTTGTGTTCACTGTATTGTTTGTTTTCCTTTATATAACCCTGCATGTGAACTGGCCTTGTGGCCATTTGCTTGTGCTCAGACTGCGTGGTGACTTTGTGATCCACCCTGAGCTTGCTTTGTCTTTCTTGACTGGTCTTGTGACCTCTTGTTCTCCCCCACTTTGCCTATGGGGGTGTGTCAAACTTATATGCTATAGTCTGTTTAGGCTGTAGTGGGGTAGTTCTTATAGGGTACAACACTTTTAGGTTTCCTACTTGTACCCACCTGCTTCCTAGTTCAATCATTCATTCGCTCACTATTCTAACAATAATAACTTGTTAACAACTGCAACATGTATAACAAACATTGCATCAATCAGACACAACACGTGCATACCGATGGGAGATACAGTGTGTAGAGGCCAGGTGAGGAATGCGCATTCGCAGCCTTGTAACGACGCCCTTGTTCTTGCCGACCATCACGTTTGCACCATCGGAGGCGACGCTTGATATCTTCTGGAGGTCGACCCCGATCCCAGTGAGATACCGCACGAACGCGGATGTGAGGGAGGCAGCGTCTGCACGGTCAACAGTGATGAGAGTCAAAAACTCAGTAACCACAGATGTGCGCTTGAAGAAGGTAGCGTATAAGATCATGTGCTTCCCATGCACTCGATCTGTGCTCTCGTCCAGGGAGATGCCTGGAGGAGGTGAAGGCGTTGTGTGTCATGGAGATAAGTTGACAGGGCACGCAGATTCTCCTTGAATCCGTAACTGCCAACGATAAGAGATAGCGTAAAATTGAGTCAGTGCTTATCAATCAAATAGAGAGGTGCACAAACACTAGCCAGCACTTACTGAGTGTAGTATGAGCCGTATCCGCCGGATGGAGGAAGGTCTGGTAACCGTTCCTTCGCCAAAAACCAGCACAGTGGGACAAACATGGCGATGGGAGCGCCCGCCATGCAGACGAAGAGCGCTATGTGGAGTAGACGGATGATGTGTCGGGTAGAAGAATCCGTGATCTGCCACCGTGTTAGAGTGGAGTGCTTGTCTTTCTCCGCCTCCGATTTCTCCAGGTTATCCACTGCTTGCTTGTGGGCACGGGTAGCTGAGTTAGTGCGGATGCTGCCGATCTGGAGATCTCGAGCACCATCCCCCTTCGCCCCATACGATGTGTGCGCTAGCGGATCTCCGTGCTTAACACAAATGAAACACTTCAATGAAGCCTGCCGTTAGACATGCGATGTACGCGTAACCATTTGAAACTACCTGCCCACTGAGAGTCAAAAGTCTTCTTTACCGATTCGTACTCAGCATCCGCCAAGGCGGTGGGAGGCTTGGGTTCGGCAGGAGGTGCAGGCCGTTTATGAGTAGACGCGTTTCGGGGAGGTGGAGCGCCCCAGAGTGTCTGCTGCTTGTACGTCGCTCCCACACGCTGTCGCTTGTCAGGCGCGCTGCTGACCGTTGAAGGCGAAGCAGTTGGCAGCTTAGACGGGCCCTCGCCACCTCCGGGCACAATATCCAGGGAAGGGTGTGGCTCCCACGCATGGGGTGAGTCTAATGGCTGGAACGGATACACCGTTCCTACCTCGCATTCTGGAGACGGTTCGCCAGCGAGATAGGAACGGTGTAGTTTACGTTAAGGCGTGGCAAAACTCCCAGCACGGAAAGGCGGTTTCTCGTGCTACCAAGTGGATCAACCTCTCCAGCAGGCATGTTTGACGAATGAGTTGAAAATGGACGAGAATGGAGAAGCGAGAGACCCCCTTGTTGAGCTCGAACCTCACATGGCCTCTTCAGGGGGCCACCTGGTAGTGGGCGTGGCGTGGGTTGGCTCGATGCAGAGGTGCATTGGCAGTCCTCTGGGTAAGACAGCCAATAAGGCCACATGGCGAGCCGCCGACAACATTTTACGGTTTCCCGCCTGTGGTCACCGGCGGCAACGGTGCCAGTTTGAGAGTGGGACATTTTGGCACCACGCGGAGAATGGGCTGATCCGCGTTAAAAATAGTTTCGGTAACTGAGTAGTCGTCACACAACCCTGATTCCGTCAGGCTAACTAAAAATCCAATCAGGGGAAAAAATCACCAACACTTTTTGGGTAAGGGTAAGAATCTACGAAGCCTGATTTAGAAAGGGTAACTCTGAAAAAGCGGCCCGCCCCCAGGGTAATCAGGGTATTTTACCCTGATATTTTGGGCCCTGTCTAGCATATATATTTTGTTACCGTATGTTTTGTATTTCCAACATTTAGAAGGTGGGGGAGTGTAAGGAATCTCAATTTCTTCCTGCCTGAGCTTAATGCGTCAGTTTGGGTTCGGCCTACCTAGGCCCGAACCACTTCCGAGTCGCCCCGCACAAATCACGACACTTCCAACCCTCGCATGTCCCGGCGAGGTCCTCGCCTAGCACAGTTTCACCCTATAAATGCTCGCTTCTTTAATGATTGTCTTGAAGTCTTTCAAGCACTCATAACAATCACCCAATACAGCTCAACTCATTTACAAAATGATCGTATGACCTGAAGGCCTGCTCTGCCAATGTTCCTGCTTTAGAGGAGAGGGGTGGTGGTAAGAAGAGTTGAAGAGAAGGAGGAAGCAAGAGAACGGAAAGGGGATGGTGAAATGACTAGCATTTGCACAACGGCTTGCGCGATGACCAGCATCAGCGCCGTCGACGCGACGTGGATCGTGGCGTGGTACGGGAGATTTCCAAAGACTACACTTTTCTGGACCTTTGCTGCAGTAGTAGTGCATGCATCATCGCCTTTTTTCTTGCGTGCATCAGTCCTCGTTCCAGCGGGAAACACGATCTCGTCCAAGCGACGCGCCAGACTGATCCCCTTCGTCGCGGCGACGAGAAACGCGACCAGCACGGGCCACGTCATGTGACCAGAAGCGAACAAGCCCACGGCTACCATGCCAGTCGCGTGTTGTACGAATTTATATAAACGCGCCACCCGCTCGGGCCCCATTTGCGCAGTCAACGTGATCTTGCTGCACTGCAGGTCGGACTCGATGTCGGGCAAATTCATGACCATCATCCGCACGAACTGCTGCACGAAAAGCAGCGGGATGATGGCGCGGAGCGATGTTGGAAGCACGAACGCGCCGTCGCCGCGGCGCTGTAGCGCACCCATCACGGGCACGCACCAAGTGAGCACGACCGCCACGACCACTTCGCCCAAACCGCGATAATGGAGCTTAAAGGGCGGGCCGGTGTACAACCACGAGAGGAACACGGTCGCACACGCGACGTACTGCGCGGGAGTTCGGAGGAACGCGAGCGTGACGACGCTCCCGATGAGGAACACGTTGCCTGCGGTGAGCGCCACCCACGGAGGCAGCAAACCCTCGGGAAGCACGCCGGATCCGCCGTTCCACTTGCCGCGCTGCTTGTTGGCGAGGTCGGTCTCGTAGTCGAAATACTCGTTAAAGTAGTGCGTCATGACGTGCGTGCACGCCACGAAAAACGCCACGGGTAAGAAGCCTTCGACGCGGAAGCGGAGCTCATCGTAACAGTGCTGCTGGTGGTCGATGTCACAGGAGAGCGCACCCAAGAGAGCGAGAATGAACGAGTACGGGATAAATTTGAGTCGCCCAAGTCGAATCAATGCGGCGAGGGACGACATATCCGAAAGTTGCCTTTTTTAGCTATGGTTTGTGTGTGTTTTGGTTTCTGCATCAGTTCCCATTTGTTGTGCTGGCAGGGAGTTGAGTCCAATGATGCGGCGCCTATGGCTGCTGTGTTCTGTTTGTGCACAAGCCCTGCAGGACTTCCACACAAGCCCTGCGGAAGGGGTTTTCCTCTTTGAATGGAAATCCCCAACGCAGCCTCGGCGAAGGTTGCTGCTGCTGACGAAGGCCGGCCGTTGCTCCAGTCAGATGCCGTCGTCGGAATGTGCAGAGATGCTCCACAATTGCTGTTTTGTTTTCTGAGCAGCCCAGAAAATCGTGTGAAACCAAACCAAACGGAATCTAACTGGCTGCAGTGCATTTAGACGGAGTCGGAAGAAAGGAAAACAACCAAACATTTCCTGTTTCAGCCAATCGTCCTGCCGCTCCCATACCATCCCGACCCCCAAAAGGGATAAACTTGAGAATGAGCGCGAGAATGAACGAGTCGCCCAAGTCACATCAACGCGGTGAGGGATGACATATCAAAACTGGGATGTTGTTCACAGCATTGGCGCCCAACCGAAGTTCCATCGCAAAAAACCCTACAGAACTTCCCCCAGCAACAGTGCACGAAACACGTGTTTAGGGATGCCACGTAGAAGATATTTGTCGACTGAGTGCCAGGGTGGACTCCTTGCAATCGACACACGTTCGGAAAGGCCTTGACTATGTTTGGTTACATGCAACTGATTGGTTTCGTATAATCGTTCAAAATCGTCGATCCGTGCCTCCACGATCGCATGGCACCTGCCATGTGGTTTGGGTGTGGTCTGAAGTAGATGTTTCCACGCCGGACCAGAATTCTGCAATTTTTGGGCTCTTGTCGAGGCCCCAAGGCTGTGAGGTGAACGCTATTCCTACTGGAACTCTGGTTTGCGTGGATTTGATGTACTACTTCTTTGTTGTGCTCGTAGGGAGTGTCAGGGAGAGGTGATCGCGGTTCGAACCGCGGACCGTCCGATTTGCGAAAATGTTACCCGTTTCGTTACGTGTCATGACTGTTTCGTGAAGGTGTTGGCGACGTCGCCAGCGGTTCGAACCGTCGCGTCACTTTTCCCTCCAAGCAACAGTTCACATTCTGAACTTTTGGCAGTTCGAATTGCAAACGGACGGATGCACAGTTCTGACACTGGATTGGCGCGCGAAGGTCTCGAAAAACAAAAACCGAGCCGCATGTTCAATTTATTTGAGGACTGCGCCGCGCGACTGAACATTGAACGATCACATCACCCCCTAGCCCAGGGCTGATTTTATCAGGGTAATTACCCTGATTTCAGGTTGATTTCAGGCTTTCTACTTCGTGGAGACTGAAATTTCAGAGTTATTGAATTTCCAGCCCTGATCCAATCAGAGTAATAGTTTAGCTATCCCTGATTTTGAGTACAGTGTAACAGAATAGGCTGTTAGTGGACCCTAACTTAACAGAGTATAGACTGTGTGGACCCTGACTTATCGAGAGGAAGTTTCTCGGAAGTTTCCTTCCGATGACCCCGCCTTGGATTGATCGCAGTGATCCCCCCACATGTGCGTAATCCCCCCCCTTCCCGCTTTATCGAGACGAAGTTTCTTCGAAACTTCGTTCTGATCGAAACTTCGAGACTTTATGGAGAGTGGGGATATTTTCCCCGGTAACAAAGCGCGCGTTACTACTCTGATGTTCAGTTCTCGACCCTGAACAATCAGTGTTAACTACTTTACAACCCTGAGCAATCAGGGTACTGCTTTTCTGGAAAATGTGCACCCATAATAGAGGGGGAAAATTTTCCCCGGAATCAGGGAAGCTTAAAACCAGGGTGCACATTCAACGCGGTTCGGCTTGAGATGTTGGGAAGGGGGTTTGGAGAAAAACAGTGATTGGCTCACGAAGGGCGACAAAAAAATGATTCCGCTAGAGCTTCGGGCATTTCGTAGGTGGCGGGAGGGGGTGAAATGGCAAGTGTGGGTGAAACCGAATGGCGGGAGGGATGAAACAGATTGGCGGGAGGGGGGGGAAACGAAATTGCGGGGGAGGGGGGAAACAAAATTGCGGGGGAGGGGGGAAACGAATTTCGACGGGGAGGGGGAAATGAAATTGCGGGGGCGTGGGGAAACGAAATTGCGGGGGAGGGGGGAAACGAATTTCGACTTGAAGGGGTTGAAAGCACACCTCGTAACCCACTCAGTCAAGGGATAACCTTTGATGCACATTCAGCTGAATGTGCACCCCGGTTTTAAAATGAAACGTCAGCCCTGCCCTAGCCCACCAACACTACAAAGGCCCTAGCAATCCGAACTGAACCCTCACACTCAGCCTGCAATGGAGCACTCTAGCGCAGGTGAGAACTCTGAACCGGCCAACACCACCCCGAACACCTCTAGTCAAAGTCGCCGTGAAATGTTTGAAATGTTTGAAATCGAGCCGCCGATGGTGAGCGAAACTGGCGAGAGTGTGTGACTGGGGTTACGATAGTACAGTAGCTCTAGCGAGTGCACAGTACTTCGGTAGTTTCAGATGTAGAGAAAAGTCACGTTTTTGCCTTCGGACAGTCTGCAGTTTCGAATTTTCGAAACGGACTGTCCAGTACCCGCTATTGGGACCGTCCGCTTCGATACAAGTGGACTGTCCGCGAAAACACAAAAAAAAAAAACAAAAAAGGCACACGCCCTAAATACGAGTGTCCAGTCCATTGAGGAGCAAGCGGAAGGGGAAGGGGGAACCAAGCGTCAGGGTGCAGAACACGGGAATTTACGGGAAGGCCCTGCCTCGTTGAGTGAGGTGAGAGTGATTGAATCATGAGATGAAGCGCACGGTGGGCACAAACAGCGCGCATCCGCGGATGGGTGGCATGGCATGAGGGACGTGTTTTAGGGGATGGGGGGAGGAAGAGGGAGGGGCTGGGAGGGGGGAGGGGTGGAAAGGTTGTTTCAGAAGCGGGCAATTTAGTGTGGTGAAGCCCGGGCAGAGTGAGGAATGTTTTGCTGAGGGGGACTGCAGGAACCTGTGGGCAAGCAGGCTTTTCTTTTTGGGCAGGATGCCACATCGCGGAGGGCACGTGATCGCAACAGTTGGGACCCAGTGCTGTTGATTCGTCTGGTGGCTCTCCGTCAGGTCCGATTTCTCACGGGCAGAGCCCAAGCAAGCCATGAACATGCAAAGTCTGTACACGTATGTGTGCACACCACCTCACAGGCCACTGCACGCCATTCCGGTACCGACAACCATTCAGCACGATCGCTCCAAACGACAAACGGGAGTTATTTTCAGAGAGCAAATGCTGCCAACTAGTAGTGCAAGTCTCCTCGTACAGCAGTGTGTTTGGTCCAGGTTCGACAACACGACAACAAGAAAGTTTTCGTCATGGCATGGCCATACGAAGGGTTGCAGCTGATTTCTTAATATACAATTGATGCCTGTTTGAGCCCCTCCCGGTTGCCTTGTGAAGGGGGCGTATAAGCTGTATCGTGCATTTCGCATAATTTTCGTCAATTCGCAGCTAGCTAAAAAGGATTCGCAGGTGCTTATATTAAGTATCTGTAACCTTATCCGTTGACATTTTGACTTCAGTCTCTTCATTTTGACTTCAGTCTGTTCGCTACTATTGGTCCATAACCACGCGACGCGCTTGTATCTTGGGTGCAACAGGCTGGGGAAAAGACCTCGGCTGCAGCGTTTCCATCCGGTGCGGGACAAATTCGCGTGCACTGGTTGGGCATCATGTGTATACGACTTTACAAACGTGGGACTTCGACGCGGTTTAGTTGTAATGACCAAACCTAATTTCCGACCATTTGCGCGTTTGCGGCGAATGCGAAAAGTGTAACGCGTAAGCAAACCCCGCCACAGATTTCGTCAGTATGTGGAGCACCCACCCTAAACTACCCTCTTAAATAAAAGCGGAATTTTTGTTTTCTTTTATTGCATTCGAACGGGTCATGGAACGCAGCGGGATCGGAAGCCTAAACTAGGGTGTTCAACAAAGCAATGGGTTTAGGCAAGCACAAAATGTTTTCTCCCCGCTGAGAACCGTTCGGCAGAAAAAAGCCCTTAGGATCGTTTTCAAGACTAAAGTCTCAGTAGTGATGTATTAGCGGAAGCATAATAGTAAACCAATTGAACCACCTTGCACTAGTATGTGAGAACAAAATAAGTTGATTATAGCAAAGAGATACTGGGTTTTATAAGATTACAAGCAATACGAAAGGTTTAACTGTAACTGCTGTTGCGGTTCGATACAGCGACGACTCGGATAACTGCTCAATAGCGAATCAGTTATTTGTCCTTGCTGTCGCGCTGCCTTTGTCGAGTCAAAGGTTGCTGACCTTTGACCTTCGCTTCAACCTCCTGCTGTTGTCGCCTTGTCAACCACTTTGCTGTATCTTGGTTGACTCGGTGTTGCTCAACTTGTACCCAACTTTAGGTGCCTCACGCTGTTTCTTTCGTGACAGCACCACCCTCACTCCTCTCCCTGCACCTGTCCCGGTCAGACTGGGCGACCCCTCCGGGGCCCCGGTCGTTGCCCGATCCTCCACTCTCCTCCCATGTCCGGCGGTTCCGTCCGGCTCACTGTCAGGTCTTCACCTCCCCTCGTTCTCTACGAACTTGGTGAGTACTGCTGCTCTCCAGGACGCGATGGTCACCACCACCACTCCTGGAGGTCAGCGTGTGTTGATCTGCACGTGTACATGGACGGGTCGTCACCTGGCCACGTTCACTCATCGGCCAGGGTCGAGTCTGTACACACTGGCTATCGAGCCTCCTCATGTAGTTGCGTTTGCTCAAGTGTCCGCGTCA